TGTGTAGCTGATGAAGACCCAAGAGGACCCAGAGCTTGATTGCAATCTCAGGTGTGCACAGAAATAAATCAGTAGCTCACATTTCTGTAAGCTTATTCTGCCTGTGGAGCACTGGAATCCTTCAGTGAAGGCCAGGAACTGCTGATACCACTATTTCTGTTCACTATTCACACCTTTCTCACATTTAAGCCTTCCATCCCCACCTCCAGCCCACCTTTATCTCTGCCAGCTAAAAGCCACCAGGTAATTTTACCTCTCACTTTCCCAGGAGCAAATGTGGACCCTTCAAAAGCTTCTAGGGAACTCAGCTCTAATAGTAGCATCTTTGTGTCAGGGATCCTCCAGCAATAGCATAAAAAATGGCTGGCAGAGTCAAGGGGAGAAATCACAGCAAGGCCTGGTATCACTCATTGCTTTCGGGTTACAGTTCCCAAGTGATAACAGCTATTAGCAACACTTTGACGGCTTCCCTACCGTGGAGGGGAGGGCAGGAGACAGAAAACATGTCAAGCCATCACCTCCGTGTTAAGTGATAAGTACCTATTTAGATGGCAGAGTTAAAGCTGAATGCATCAAGCAGGGAACACTTTGTGCCAAAATAAAAATAAATAAATAGATAAAAAAAGGCCATATAGATACATAAAAAGTGGGGTTAGGGTATTTGTTCTGCTGACAGCAGCTGTGATGGATTGTTTAAGAAAAATAGACTCCCTGTGTTTTTCCAGGGCTATCAAAAAGCAGGAGTCCAGCACTTTAATACTCTCAAATGACTGGCCTTGAGAGGCAGCAGAATGTCAGCGGCACCGGCCGGGTTCTCCCAGCGCTGACACCTGCCCCGGCTGCCGCCGAGAGGCAGCGCAGAAGGGCCGGGGCGGCAATTTCCATCCATTTCCTCAGGCCAGGGGCTGCACCCTGACCCCTGCCCCCTCCCCTCTCCCAGCCCCTGAGGGTCGGCAGCCAGCGGCATGTTGGCATGTATGCCCTTGCAGCATCCCTTTGGAGCTGCCTGAGCAGGGAGGAGCAGGACTGGGAGCACCTCAGCTGGAGCACCAGCTGCACGATGCACATTCGATTCATGCCGAACCTGCCCGTGTATTGATAGAGTTAAACTAGACGTTGTTCCTAATTGCAATGGCAGTGCTGAAACATTTGCAGAGGCTACAGCTCAGCTCTGCAGTCCATGGAGGGTGTCAGGGGCTGCCAGGATGTGAGCCTTGCAGCATGAGCAAGGCTTAAGTGGCCTCTGCATCCTGTGCTGGCCCATCCCCAGGGAATGCCAGGAGCCATGGCCATGGGTGGCCAGGCACCCAGACGTGTCTCTCCCCCTTGGCACAGCTGAGCTCCAAGGGGTAGGGAAGAAATGCCGAGTGGGGCCGTGGCTGCCCAGCAGAGCAGGAGGAAGAAGGGAGAACATGGCTCGGACAAGATTGATGGCCTCGTTGCCATTAAGAAAAAAATTAGCCAGTGGCGGCTATCATATTAAAGGGTGAAGAAGCTGTGAATTATTTTCTTAAAGATCTTATCACTTACAATGATAATTTTACCTTCCAAAAGGCCACTTTTAATGAGGCAAGCCAGGCAAAAAGTCATGATTTAATGCCAGATTTTTTTTTCCAAACACACTTTACTGCTTTTTTGTCCATGTTTAAAAAGCGCCAGTGACCTTTTTTTATTTAGCTTGCCCCAGGTGTAATGCTCAGGCTGATCCTCTCAGGGTTTATAACCTCCGCAGAGAGTGCCTTTACCCAATGGAAAGATGATTTAAAGGAGAGGGAGAAATATGGGGCTGCATGGCCACTCACACAGGCCCTTGCTCTGTCGTTGATGCTGGGAGCCATGGTTTGCCAGAGGAGGGGGCATCAGGGCATCATGAGCATGCTCTCTCCCCAGCAGATCATCTCAGACTCACCCTGAAGGGAATCTGGGCTGAACTGGCAACAAGACAGGATGAGCTGGCTGGTGGCTTTTCCCCAGGGTGAAAAGGGACATCTCAGCATCAAGGCTTGTTCCCATCATGCAAAAGCAGCTGGTCCCTGACATAGGAAACATCCCTGCACAGCCTGTATGCACACAGAGCACTCACCATCCCCTTTTTTGGGGTGGGATGCCAGAATTTGGATCTGTCCTGCAGCTTGGGCATGCACGAGGGCAGGGAGGACACATGTAAAGCTGCCTTTTCCCTCCACAGCTGTCTTCCCAGATGCCAGTCAAGAGAGGTACAGGGATTATATCGCTGCCCTTCCCTGAGGGGGAGTGAGCAGTATGGGTGGAGAGGGCAGCAAATCCTCAGTTTGGGGTGCTGTGGCCATGAATCCTCGCTTCTTAGCTGTCAGGAAATGGGCCCAACACAACGATTTGGGAAAAAAAGAGGCCAAAATTGAGGTGGCAGAGAAGGTGGCCTAATGCAGAAATGAAAGTCACTCTGGTGGTGAGTGCCATTCCTAATCCCTTAGCCCCTGAACCTGCATCCCTGCCTCCCCCCTTGGCTGCCTGAAAAGCAAAGTGTGGCAGAGCGCACTGAAATGAGAAAAACAAATGAAGTCAAGTTTCCTAAGAGTGAAGGGGAAGTGTGACTTGGCATCTCTAACGCTGTGTTTAACATGCCGGCGAGGTATTTAGAATTGAAGTGCTTGCACACAATTTAAAAATAGACAGTTTATTAATCTAAACTGCAAGTGTATGTAGAAGAGGCCTTGAGATTGACATCTTTGGGATTAGTTTAGCCCTGCGTTTTTCCAGAGGTCATTGCCATGGTGCTCAGGAGGTTTGTGGAATAAATGGGGCCGGCGTTCTTCCCGGGACCACACGCTAAAAACTAATACATAATGTTTAATTTACTGTCTCCATAGCTAGCCCAACCATTTTTCACATAATAATATTGGATTAGAGCTACCAGAAGCTGAGGGGGGAGCTGGAGGCAGGGAGGGTTTGTCTGTCTGTCGCCAAGGAATGGGGAGATGTGTATTTTTTTCCCCTTCTCTAGAATACATAGGAAGACAAAACGGATTTAACCCTCCCAGCTCCAGGGTGCTTGACTCATTAGAGGAGGGAAAGGGCATCAGCACCACTGCAATTAGGGCTGTTGTTCTGACTCACATCTGAAGGCTTTGAGCCTCTATCCCTCCTTTTTGTAGGACATGTGCAATCCTGCTTCTTCAGAAATGGTCCTTGTTCTCCATTTAGAAAATAAATAAACTAAATAACAGCAGGAGCTCAGGGTTTGCACTCTGATTTGCATGCTTGTCAGAGGGCTTCTCCAGAAACAAATTAACCTCCCAGCAAAACTGGTCACTGGTTGGATTTGGCCAACATGAGGCAGAAGCCCATGCTCTGCCCGTCTCTCTCCTGGGACACAGAGGCCAGTCTCTTTGGGCCAGCCCAAAGTGCCCCCAGTGCCACTGGCTCCCACTCGCCCTTCCAGCACCTGGCATCCCAATCAGGCTGAGCTGAGGAACATGCCAGTCCTGAGATACGGCCAGCACAGCCCTCAGCGTTGGCAGGAGAGTTGGTGCCTGGGGAGATAACCAAGCACCCCAGCAGGTCATTGTCCTGTCACCCCCTTTCAGGATGTCCTGTCTCTGCACAGCCAGTAGAGCCACGTGTGGCTCTTGCCCTGGTGGCAAGGCTGGCAGCTCACATTCATGGGGTTGAAGCCAGCATTCCAAATCCTCCTCCCTGCTTCCAATCCCAACCACGCTGCCATGCTTTTCCCACTGGGAGAGCCGACCAAGCCTGGGGGATCACATCCTGCTGACAGAATCAATTTGTATGCTGAGTCATTTTTCCACTTGCTCATATCTTTCCAAAAAATGCACATTTTTTTCACGTTTCATTTCAGCCCAGAGGCAAATGTTTCTGGCATACTTGCCTTTCTCCAAGGTATTATGCTTTTTAATAATGTTGTCACCACACTTGACCTGTCCAATTCAGATGATATCTACACTTCCCTTTGCAAACACACACCTCTCCAAGCAGTCATTTATTGTCAAATCTTGCCAGCTGATTCTCAGAAACAAACATCTGGAGAGCTGCACTTCCGCTGTACATTTTTTACCATGTCTTGGGCTATATTTAGCCTACTTTAGGTAATTTATATTTTAAATTGCATTTTTTTCCTCAAAATTTTATAATAATAAAGTTCACCTGCAACTCAGTGTACATTTTTTCAGATGCTGTCAAACTCCCACAGTAATTTTCCCACTAGAGTTCACTGTGTGTAGAATTTAGACTTACCTACTATTGACTCAAAGTTTATCAGTGATTTCTTAGGTCTCAAATACCACTGATCTTTTTAACCTTCTAAAAGGCCCTTTTTTTTTTTCTGTGCTACTTATTAAAATAAATAGCATCATACAGGAGGAAGTGTACATTTTTTCAGATGCTGTCAAACTCCCACAGTAATTTTCCCACTAGAGTTCACTGTGTGTAGAATTTAGACTTACCTACTATTGACTCAAAGTTTATCAGTGATTTCTTAGGTCTCAAATACCACTGATCTTTTTAACCTTCTAAAAGGCCCTTTTTTTTTTCTGTGCTACTTATTAAAATAAATAGCATCATTACAGGAGGAAGAGGTAGTTGCTCTGCAAAGGTGCTGAGAGCTTTAGCATAGTTTACAAAGCTATTGAGAGATTTAGTGGCACTTAGAGGGGTGGATGAGGGCAGGTTAGCACAGCTTCATGTCAGCACATCTCCACCTTACTGCAGAATTTCTGGGGTGGTCCTCACACATCATTTCCAGCAGGGATTGATTCTGCCCCCAAACACCAGACCTGGGGATAAAATTACCATCCCTTTGCTGCCTGATGCATTTGCGCTTTGCTGGGCCCTGCAACCTGGTCTCTCGTGGGGCAGGGTCCCATGGGAGGTGCAGAGGCAGCCCCTCTGTCCCAGCAAAGCCCCACATCCCTGCAGATGCTCTCCATGGCTTTGAGGATGGCTTAGTGAGGGGCAGAGAGCTCAGCAACACTCACAGCATTAATTTCTCCTTTCTCTTGTAGTCAATTTTGTTGTCGGCCTCAATCAAGCGGGAAGGAGATTCTCCAACAGCATCACCCCACTCCTCAGATGACATCCATCACTCAGACAGATACCAGGTAAGCAGGGAGCCAGTTCAGCCCAGTGCCCACAGCTCTCCGTGCCTGAGAGCCCAGCTCTTGGCTCTGCACCACTGCCCCAGCTCGCCTGCCTGCAGCACAGGGACGTGAGGACTCTGTTTCTCACATGGCTTTTGTCTGCAGAGCCCTCCCAGTTCTGACTTGAAGCCACAAATCGGCTTTAAATCTTTGTAGAGCTTTCTGTTGCACTTTATTTGTCATCTCAGTTGTTGCCATGGCTGTGTTTGTCATTACTTACCCTATGCCACCAGGAAACTTTCAGAGAAGGGATTTTTTTTGTAAAAGAGTGAATGATGTCAGCCTGCAGCAGCCAAAAGTCTCAGTTTCACTATTGTGCTGCTGCCCAACAAACTTGTGACTCTTGACTCCCACCCAAAACAGAAATGGTTTTGAACCATGCACAGCTGTTTCAGCATGTCTTAATAAAACACCCTCTGCCCAGAGGAGCAGCAGGTCTTGACTTGTGACTTCAGTGAGTAAAAGTTGAGGGAGATGGATCAAGAAAAGAGAGAGGCAGCAGCACAAGCACAGCTTTGCTTGTTTTAAGTCTGTATTTTTGGGGTGGGGTGCCACACTTGACTCTTTAACTCAACACACATCCAAACTGTTTGGCTGCAAGCTTGCACCCATCTGCTGGCTTCAAGAAAGCTCTGAAAGGTGGCAAATAAATTAATTATGGCCTTCAGCACAGAGCCAAGAGTGTCTCTGCCTGCTGCATGGACCTTCTGGGTGGGCCATGGCTGTACCACCTTGGCATATGCCCACCACCCTGTAACCTGCAGTGCTCTGCAGCCAGTCCCTGGGCCCAGGGTCAGAAAGAAGGTCAGGTCTTGGCCAGGTCTGCACTTAGGTCTGTAGAGAAAGTGGCTGATGACCAGTGACCAGGCAGCCCCAGTTAAAGCATCCGTTCATGAAGACAGGTCCTACTAGCAGCAGATTTGTAGATTTGTTGCTCATTATTCTCTCCTCTGACCTATTTATTGCTTATATTATCAAATATGGGCCAGATCCTCCATTGTTTGCTACAAATTGCCATGTAGCCTTCATTTACAACTTGGCATCACATCACAAATCACTTTACCCTCATATGAATTATGAGATCTGGTGCAAAGTATGAGAAGCAAAACCCTGCAGAAAATACACAAATGCCTGATTCAGGTAATCCCAGTCTCCTGCCTCTTTATTAAGGCTAATAAATTATGTTCTTTCTGAAAGGGCATGGAAGAGACTTCTGCTGTGGTGTCCTTTGTTGGAGAACACCCATCCCTTCCTGCTCCTCCAGATTTCAGTCTCTGTGAACCTGGTGGTCCCTTGCAGTCCTCCACTCCTCTGAATTTTTATTACGTCGTACTTGAGGAAAATATTCTCAGCAGAAGCCCCCTCTATGTGCTGAGTCTAGCTAGTCTCTAATGTGTTTTAAGTTTGTGAGTGCATTTTATGGAGGGTTGCAGGCCTTAATGCAAATGTGTAATGAGAGCTGTAAGTCTGCACTGCCGCGAGGAAAGACCTCTGGGGCCTGATTTTCATTTACGCTTGTGCTGGCTGTGTTGTGCTGCTCCGGGAGCGTAAAGGGACCTCCGAGTGGGTGCCAGGGCTCTGTAAAGCCTCAGTGTGTCCTTAATAAAACCACAAAATGAATGAGAATTCAGTCTCACTGGCTTACCCGGTGAAATGCTCAGGAAGCAGAGCAGAAGACTCTCACAGTGGTGACTTTAAGGGCTGCAAAATTCAGCTTTCCATATAGAGAGGTGTGCTGGAATTATGAATGTCCCCTGTGTTATCTGTGATCTAATCTTGAATATACAGTGTATTAGTACCACGCTAGAACGTGAGTTATTGGTCTGTAGGTTTTCAGAATTCCTGTGGCTTGATTCCCTTAGTCTTCATGCTTATTTACCTTGGGGATATTTAGGGAAGAAGGAGATTTATGAATAGGAATGCTAGAGGAATATGGGCTTGCACAGCATTTGGGCTGCTTGCCTTGCTCCTCACGCTGAGGAGCTGCAGTGGAGGCCGTGGGGCAGCTCCAGGACATGGGAAGGGGGATCCCCTTTTCTTCCCTCTGCCAAGCCTGGCTGCTGGAGTTTGGTACGTGGACACTGATGGGATCAAGGTAGTGGCATCTGGTGTGGAGCAGGACCTTATGATATGCACCAGTGGTGGGTGCTCCTCTGAGATACAGCAGGTCCTGTCAGGCGGGGCCTTTCCTGTCTTCTGAGTTGAAATAAAGCAGTTTGAGTTAGATTTAGATAAAAGCCCAAGTCCCCAGTGGAAAAAGCAACAGCAAATTTGACGTTGTTCAGCATCCAGTAAAGATAACATTTCAGGCTTGGAGAGAGACCACCCTGTATGGGTCAGCTGAGCCCACAGAATATTTGTGACATGAATAACATGTGGAGTAAGTGTAACTGAAAGCAGCTTTGATTTTGTAAGCACGTGTGAAAATGCAGCCACGTTTCGATTGTCAGGTGCCGGGGTGAAGACCCAAAATGTAGGTTTGATTCCAAGAAATGTAGCCTGAGCATTCTGCAGAGGGGGGAAAATGGAATTTGTGTGTGAAGGAGCCTCTGCTGCCCAATTTCTAGCCCCTAGCTCAGTCCTACCCTCAGGCTGGTCCCCAGGGCCATCCCCCACCACGGCCCTGGGGCTCAGATGGGAACCATCCATTAGCCAGGTTTGGTTGCCCAGGTTTGCTGGAATGCAGGATGGAAAATACTAGAAAGAAATTAGTTGCTGTGAGGGTGGTGAGACACTGGAACAGGTTGCCCAGGGAAGTGACGGATGCCCCGTCCCTCCAAGTGTTCAAGGCCAGGTTGGATGGGGCTGAAGGGCAAGGGGCTACCGAGGGGCCCCCATTGGGGCCTGTCTCTGGGTCCCGATACCCCTCGGGCCCTGCGTGGCTGGATGCCCTTGGGCCACAAAGCTTCCCCATCCCTAAACGGGCACTAAGAGCTTGGGGAGGGGCTGTCTCTGGGTCCTGCCCGCCCGGTCCCTGCCTGGCAACCTCCCCCGAGCCCCAGCTGCCCCCGGCCTCTGATTGGTCAGGTGCCCGTGGGTCCCAATGGCTCCTGATTTCTGATTGGTCAGATGCCTCTGGCTCC